TCTTGACTTCCTATGCCCAGAAAGTGTGGACAACAGTTCCTCTGTAATAAAAGAACACACCAGATCTGCAGGGAGGCACGCTGGACGTTCACAGTGGAAGGAAGAAGAGACTCCAGGAAAAGTGTCCCAGGAGGAGCAATCAGCTCGAGTGACTCTGGCTAACCTTGACCTTGGGGCTTCCACGCTGCAAGCCGCTTCCCTTGGCGGTCAGCTCTGGGCATGTCCGCCGGTGCCCGTCTCTCCAGGGCCTGCTCTATGGTCACCCCCAGGCACGGCCTCACTTCTTGATGCCACTCACTGTTTGGCTTCTGGAGGAGTCACATGCTGTCCACCGGGGTGACATACTCTTCAAGCTGTCGTATTCTTATTCTGGAATAAATAGAGATATTAGCCGCACCGGACACGGGGCTGGATGGACCGGGGGCGGGGTGGCGCCGGGGCCGTTCGCGACGTGCGCGCACCTGCGCCGCGAGGATTTTCTGACCTTTCTCTCCTAGGTGGCGGTTGGAGGGGTTGTGTGTTCAGCCGAGTTCTACATGTAAACGTCTGTGTGCAATACGTAGGAACTAGAGAGTATTTCCTGTCATCCACGTGCCAGACCCTTCGCACCTTTAAGTTCACGTTTCTCCGCAGTGGGCTAGGAGTCGGTATAGACAGGAAAACCGAGGCCAAAGGGCAGCGTTGGGGGTCACAGGCAGTGTCAGCGTCGGAGCGGAGGTGACGTTAAGTTTCCTTGACCCTTGAGACCTTAGCCTCTGCAAAGCCCTGGGCTCCTCCCACAGTCGCTGGGAGACATCACCGTCAGGTGGCGGTTGACAGACTCCTCTTAGCAAACCTGCCGTTAGCACGGGCTGACTCACGTGTGGATTATTCCTCCTTCCCTTTTAAAAAATGGGACCTGTGGAACTCACAAACACACAGCAGGTGAACTTCGCGTGTCGTCACCCGGCTGCGGCGAGTATCAGCAAGTACCAAGTGTTTCCACCCCGGCCGCCCCAGTGCTGTAAAACAAATCCCAAAGACAATTATTTCATTCCTAAGTATTTCAGTGTCTGAGAACTTTTAAGATCTATTTTTATTTGTTTGAAAGAGTTTCAGAGAGAGGAGAGACAGGTCTTCCATCGGCTGGTTCACCCCCCAGATGACCACAATGGCCTCCCATGTAGGTCGCGGGGGCCCAAGCACTTGCGCTGTCATTTGCTGCTTTCCCAGGCACGGAGTTGGGTTGGAAGTGGAGCATCCGGGACTTCAACCGGGACTCATATGGGATGCAGTGTCGCAGGCAGCAGCTTAACCCACTGCACTACAATGCTGGCCCCTACCTCTTTATTCCTTACCCAGGGGGATGGCCACACATAGTAGGTCCTGGGAGACTTGTCAATCATTTCTGTAGATGGGGCCGTGTCTGTGTGACTGGGTGAGCTTCAGCGAATCCTTGAGTAAGGACAGGAAGCTTGCATATAAAAATAAAGCAACTGCTGGTAAATTTTTTTCAAGATTTATTTATTTATTTGAAAGTCAGAATTAGAGAGAGGAGAGGCAGAGAGAGAGAGAGAGGTCTTCCATCTGCTGGTTCACTCCCCAATTGGCCGCACTGGCTAGAGCTGCGCCAATCCAAAGCCAGGAGCCAGGAGCTTCTTCTGGGTACAGGGTTCAGGGGCCCAAGGACTTGGGCCATCTTCTACTGCTTTCCCAGGCCATAGCAGAGAGCTGGATCAGAAGTGGAGCAGCTGGGACTAGAACCGGCGCCCATATGGGATGCTGGTGCTTCAGGCCAGAGCGTTAACCCACTGCACCACAGTGCCGGCCCCTGGTGAATTTAAAACATACTGAAATGTGCCAAGTTCTGGGCCTGGGCTTGCTCAACTATGGGGTGGACCCCAGGCCAGGAACAGGAGGGACCTTCTTCAGCAAACCAACTCAGTCTCTCTTCCTTAAAGGAGGAGGTACTGCAGGGTCCTTCTGTTATCCAATCATATTTGCTTGGGAGACTCAGAAATAGATGAGTTTCCAATTTGTTTAGAGAGGCACCTGGGAATCAGATACTGTCTTGAATATAACTGCAATTAAAAATTACAGTTTCAAATGCCCCGCAGAAATTATCCTTTGAAGAACAATATGGAAGACAAGACTGGCGACCCCGCCTTCTCCCGTGACCAGGGACTCACCTGTGAAACGAGCAAAGGGCAAAGTTCAGTCTACTCACCTGCTGTGTCTCAGGAGCACTGCAGCTCTCAATGTTGACTGTGGACGGACAAGAGGCTCTCTGAGCTATTTACTGTTTTAACTACAAGGATTTTTTTTTAAAGATTTTATTTATTTGAAAGAGTGACAGAGAGAGACAGAGACAGAGATCTTCCATCTATTGGTTCACTACCCAAATGGCTATAATGGCCAGTCGAAGCCAGGAATCCAGAACTCCATCTGGGTCTCCCATGTGGGTAGCAGGGGCTCAAGTCCTTGGGCTGTCGTCTGCTGCTTGGCCAGGTGCATTAACAGGGAGCTGGATCAGACGCGGCACAGCCAGGACTCCAGCCAGGACCAACATGGGATGCCAGGGTGGCAGGCGGTGACTCAGCCTTCTGTGCCACAATGCCAGCCCCTAAGGATCTTATTTCATCTCTCAGGAATATGACCTTTGCCACGAGGCTTGTGACAGACACACAGCCCGTGAGACAAGTTTGCTAAAGGACATGGCACTGATTGTCCAGAGCACAGAGGGCGTTTGCTTACAAGCCTTCGGATTTGTTCTCCTGAACTGCAAAGAAACCCGTTTCACCTGCTGGAGATGAACTCTTCAGACCGACGTGAACTAGCCCTTCACTGCAGGCTGCACGCGCTCACTCTGCACCCGTGGAGAAGCCCAAGGGGGGTCTGAGCCAAGGTCTGAGTCCAGGCCAGCGTGCAGCGTGGTTCCTCAGTGTGGACGGACAAGCCAAGGGGTCTCTGCAGAGACTTCCAGCCGGCGTGGCGGGGGTCCCAACATCGCCTTTCTCAGGCCGGAGACACAGCCTTACTGTGCTGGGACCCAGGGGTGTCTTTGTAGGGGACAGTGGTCCCCATTCCATTTGGAAGGAAAAAATTCTTTCCACAGTGGCGCTAAGGGTCTCAGGTCACAGGCGATCATCTAAGGTTCTTCTCCCCTAACAGCTTCCTTAAATGATTGATTGATTGGAGAGAGAGGGAGAGAGAAAGGGAGTGGCTGCAATGGCCAGGCATGGGCGCCAGGGAACTCAGTCCACGTCTGCCCTGTGTTTCTTCACCTGCTGCCTCCCAGGGTGGCATTGGCAGTAAACGAGTCCAGCGCTGGTGCCTGGCATTGAACCCAGGCACTGTGGGACGCAGGCTTTTGAACTGTTAAGCTGACTGCTTGTCCCCTCCTGTCTCTGTAGTGGTATCCCAAGAGGTGAATTTGGAGATAACGTGTGTGGTTTTTGGCTCTCTGTCTACATTGCAGACTTAATATTCTGTACCCGAGTCTCACTTATTTCCAGAACACTTCTGAGACTGACCACCAGGCAGGTTCCAATGTCTGCCCAGCCACAAAACCGAGTGGCGGTGTCGGCGCGGTCGCAGGGTTCTCTGCTCGTGGGCAGCCTCGCGACGTTCCTCTAAGCAGGCAAGGACTGCGGCGTTTCGGTAAAGGGCACGACATCCCCAAGCAGCAGCATTTAACCTTCCCCAAACGGCGCGGGCGGGGGATGGAGGGGAAAAGCTGATGATGATGTAAAACATGGAGAAAGGCCAGCCTTACAAACCCGGGGAGGGCTGCGTGACCTTGGCGTTCTGCACGGTGTCCTTTGGCACCGGGTCAGCGCTGCCGCCTCCTGGCAGGAGACAGACACCTCCTCCCGGAGCGGTGGCCTCTTTATCCACAACCGCTTCGGAAATGCTGGCTCCAGATGGCCAGCAGAGGTGCACGGAGCCTTTGCTGAAACTGTGCACCCCGCAGAGCTGCAGCCAGATCCACACCCTGCGACTTGAAACCCCTAAGACGGAGAGAGAGAGAGAGAGAGAGAGAGAGAGAGAGAGAGAGAGAGAGAAGCTCCTGTGTACTGGTTCACTACCCAAATCCCTACAACGGCCAGAGGACTGAAGCCAGGAGCTGGGACTCAACCCAGGTCCCCCACATCTGCCACACTCAGGAACTCAGTCTCTTGCCTCCCAGGGTCTACATTAACAGGAAGCTGGACTCAGGAGGCAGAGCTGGGACTTGAACTTGACGTGGGAAGCAGGTGTCTTACCCACTAGACCGAGCACCTTGGCTGGGGCTGTGTTTTGGAGGCTAGAAGCAGACTGAGGTGTCTTGGGACGGTCATCTCTATCTTGCCCAGGGCAAGCTGCTCCAAATCATGGTGGCAGTGGAGCAGTGGGTGTTGGGTTGCTACGAAACTCCGGAGATCTGTGGCTCATACAGTCCGATGTGCTTGCTGCCCTGCAGGGTTTGTTTCAAAGAACGCATATGGCCATGTCACCAGCCGCGCAATTCTTCCCGGGCTCTTTGGCCACAGCATCAAGCCCAGGCTTCCTCAGCCTGGCACAGAAAGCTCTCCAGTGTTTGGTCCCAATGTCTTTCTCGCCGACCCCACCCTGCCTCTCGTGGCCCAGCAACACTGGGTCGCTGGTAGCTGTCCCAACCATCATAGTGACCACTCGGGCTTGAGTCACCTGAGTCCCATTGACTTGAGGTCACCTCCTCCAGGATCCTTCTTTGACCTTTTTTGTCTCCCCTGTAAAATACAAGTTCCGTAAGGACCAGCATTGTGATGCTAAAACCGTATACTCCCCAGCACCCAGCGCAGGGCCTGCTGGGTCCCCAACCCGTTTAAGAATATTCTGGTGCTCTGGTTGCGGGCTAGGTTGGGCCTAAATTTCTATTCCAGACTCTTGCTTTTTCCTTAGAGAAGAATTGTATGTACAGGCACAAACAATGTGCCACGTGGCAGTGTTTATTTACAAAGTGAGGGAAATACACACACACTTGCGGGCTTTATTTAGGGAGCGTGGACCAGGAAAGGCGAAGAGGGACTTTCGTTCCCTGCTCATTCTGTGCCCACGAGGAGAGAGAGCTTCTGCTTTACCAGCTTCTTATGAGCCTAGAAAACATAAGTGTTTACATGGTACCACCCCCAGGTCCCTGGTAAGGGGAGGTACTTCCGGGGGAAGGGGTCTCTGACTGACAGGTGGGTGGGGGACGTGTGGCTTCCAGCTCATGAACCTAATTTATCTTCCTGACTTGTTCCAAATCACAAGCTCTCAGCAGGCAGGATCATGGCAGGGAGGTCAGGAGAAGGCTCTGGGCCATGCCTTCAAACCCAGGAGTGCAGAGAGGCCTCAAAAAAGCAGCATTAAGAACTCGCACCCGGGGCCAGCAGTGTGGCGTAGAGGATAAGCCACTGCCTGCAGTGCTGGCATCCCATATGGGCGCTGGTTTGAGTCCTGGCTGCTCCATTTCCAGTCCAGCTCTCTGCTGTGGCCTGGGAAAGCAGTAGAGGATGACCCAAATCCTTGGGCCCCTACACCCTTGTAGGAGACCCGGAAGAAGTTCCTGGCTTCAGATTGGCACAGCTCCACCTGTTGCAGCCATTTGGGGAGTGAACCAGCAATGCAAGACTTGCCTCTCTGTAGCTCTGCCTTTCAAATAAACAAACCTTAAACAAACAAACAAAAAAAAACCTCGCACCCTCATCCCCAGCAGAGCTGATGACAACACTTACTGTCTGGAATTTGTACCACATCATTGCTAAATAAACTTCTGTTCTATGGCATCTTTTAAAAAAGATTTAAAAGAATGATTTCTTTAGTTTTTTGCAAGGGAGAGAGAGAGCGCGAACTATCTCCCATCTGATAGTTCACTCCCCAAATGCTGAGGCCAAAGCCGGGATCGGGGACCTCATTCCAAGTCTCCCATGTGGGTGGCAGGGACCCAGCTACTACTTTTGAACCATCACCTACCTGCTGCCCTCCCCAAGTGTACACTAGCAGGAAGCTGAAATCCGCAGTGAAGCTGGGACGTGAACCCAGGCACTCCAATATGACGCCGTGTGTAACAGACAGACTCATCACGAAAGGCAATGATCGCTGTCCCGATTCTCCCCCAGCCCATGACAAGGACATTTTACTGGGTTATCTTGTTTCTTCCCTCCCTCCCTCCCTCCCTCTCTACCTTCTCATTCTCTCTCTCTCTCTCTCTCTCTCTCTCTTTCCTGAGCGGTTACTTGTTATTTCTCAGCAGACTGGGCTGTAGAAAGCACAGAGTCAACCACACCTGAAACTGATGGTGCCCTTCCCACGAAGGTCAAACTCCTCAGCAGGGCTAAGTGCACCTGCCGCTTCGGACCCCCTGCCTGTGTTACCTGCGCTGCTGTTTCCTGTTCCTGTCCTCGCCCAGGCGCATTTTCCATTTTTACATCTTTCTCTTTTTAGTGTTTATGTCTTTAATGCCCACCTCCTGGTGGAGCGCCCTCGCCGGCTCTCTCGGGATGTGGACTGGGCTGCCGGGACTTGCTTCTAAGGGTCGGCTCTTATCAACAGCCAGGAAAGCACTGTTCACGGTTAGTTGACAGAAAGGTGCCGATTTCTGCCTTGCTCATCCTCTTGTGTTCTTACTGGCTCGTCCTCTGTGAAGCCAGCTGCCACATTGCCCACCGCCCCATGGAGAGGCCCCCATGGCGAGGAGCTAACCCACGACAGCACATTCCCTGAGGACTGGAATCCTGCCAGCTTCTAGGGCAGCCGCCCCCAGTCGAGTTTTCAGATGACACAGCAGCCCCAGGCAGGAGGGGGATCTGCCGCGGGGCGGGGCTGCTGGGGGCGGCTCAGTGAATCACGTGGTCTGGAGAGCCCAAAGCCCAGCGTCCCTGGCCGCCCTGGGATCAGACTGGGGGTCTTCGCTGCAGCCTTTTGGGAGACCTCGAGCCAAACAACCCAGTGTAGCCCAGAACCTGAGCCGCAGAAACCGAGATGAATATTTGCTGGCCTAAAGCTGCTAAGTGTTGGGGTAACTTGTTACCCAGCAATAAATAACCGATGCGATCCTTTTGCCCTGTGTTTCTGTTTTGTTTTGTTCGGGTCAGTCATTGGGTTTTGAACCTTTTCCCCCTTTACCCTTCCCATACCCTTCCAATACTGCATTAAGGGGCTGGCATTTGGACCCGGCTGCTCCACTTCTGATGCAGCTCCCTGCTAACGTGCCTGGGAAGGTAGTGGAAGATGGTCCAAGTGCTTGGGCCCCTGCATCCACGTGGGAGACCTGGATGAAGCTCTGGGCTCCTGGCTTCAGTTGGGCCCAGCCCTGGCCACTGCAGCCATTTGCGGAGTGAGCCAGCAGGTGGAAGACCTCTCTCAGTGTCTCTCCCTCTCTCTCTGTGTGTCTCTGCCTCTCAAATAAATTTTAAAAACCTGCATTAACAGATTGGGTGTTCCTTGCACCCCTGCATCTGCTCATATAATCAGATGCAGGATATGTGAGACACCCTAGGTCACTGTGTTACTTACTGTTTTTCCAAATTAAATTTTATTTGTTTGAAAGACAGACGAGGGACAGGGGGAAGCGCTGGCTGAGTCTCTCCCTAGATGCCTGCTGCTGGGCTGGGCTGAAGCCCGGGGCTGGGAACTGAATCCTCACGTGGGCAGAAGGGACTCCAACACTTGAACTATCACTTGCTGCCTCCCAGGGGACGCACCAGCAGGAAGCTGGAGTGGAGCTGGGACAGGAACCCCAGCACTGAAACATGGGATGCAGGTGTCCCAAGTGGGGTCCTAACCACCAGGCCTGCTTATCACTGAGCGGTATTTTCTAGTGCCGCTACTGTCTGTCGATTGCAATCGTGCCCGTCTCCTGCAAAACCCCGGAGTCAGCATTTCACCAGGCAGTCAGCTGCGGCTGCAGTGGAAACGTTCGCGCCTCTGGTCCGTTCCACGGGAACCTGGAACTGTGCCGTAGGATCCTAAGAAGCACAGACAGAGCTGGGCCTTGGAGCACCTGCTGCTCCAAAAACCCCGGGCCTCAGCGCTGCGGTTCTGCACGTCCGGCTGCAAATGGAGGAGGCTTTGCTGGAGGGGGCGGGGAGCCCAGCCTCCGCGCATTCCAAAGGGACATTGCTCAGATAACTTCTGGAATCCTTTGCCAAGTGCCTTCCCCAGTCTGATCCCAGGGCGGCCAGGGACGCTGGGCTTTGGGCTCTCCAGACCACGTGATTCACTTAGCCGCCCCCAGCTCGCAGCCCCGCCCGCGGCAGATCCCCCTCCTGCCTGGGTGATGCCTGCCCTAAGATCACTTAGGTCTCATTGTCCCACGGAGCACCCAGAGGACCCAGCGCTCCTGAGGGGGCACCCTGTGCTATTCATGGCTGTGTCCCCAGGACCTGGTCACAGGACGACCTAGCGCACAGCGAGCACCGACAAGTACCTGAATGAATGAATCGGCTGAAGAAGACCACTGTTTGCAAAAATTGAATTTGCCTTAAAGGGGCCGCCGTTTGTCATGCTCAGTGAAGGTTAAGAGCGCACATTTCCTGGGAGCTCCCTGGGGTTTAACGTCGCATGATTTCACCCAACCCTCCCAACGACCCCAGTGGGGACTGTCACTCCCACTTTACAGAGGAGTCTCACTTGGCAAAGCCACACGGTTCGCAGCCTGTTCAAGTGCCAAGTGCAGACCTTTACCCGTCACGCGGTACCATTTTTCCTTCGTAATATTTTTGTGGATGTTAAGTTTGTGAAAACTGTTTTGGAGACAAAACATACAGATATGTACAAAGAAGAAGAAAAACCAGTCATTCAATGCAGAATTTGACCTGCCACTAGCACCCTGGCACACTGTCTTCCAGTGGCCTCTTTTAACAAATGCCTCCAGGAGACCGAGCTGAAGGCCCCAAAGCCGTCTGGAAGGAGAGGCAGAGTGGAGCTCTGTCCACGCAGCAATGCGGGCTACTGCACCGTATTCTGAGACGGTGGGTCGGTCTGGGTGTGCCCTGGGGAAGCAGAGCTCAGCTCCCACAAGGCGCAGAAGGGGTGACCGAGCTGTCCCCTCCCCACGGTGCCCACCCCGCCCTTGGCGCGGCCAGGAGCAGCGAGCAGACCCCCCTGCTGTAGAGCTGGGTGCCCCCCAGGCCCTGCCAGACGCTTACTTCTTCAAGGCGGAGGCTGTTTCCTGTACCTTCCTCTGCAGTAGTTAGCATATTTCACACCTAAAAACCACTCAGTAAACAAAGACATCGACTGTGGGAGGATGGAAAAAAAAAATCGCTTGGAATCAGACAGACCTGGTTCCAGCTCCAGCTCTGCCGCCTATCATCTGTGTGACTTTGGCTGAGTGACTTAACCTCTCTGGGCTTTAGTTTGCTTGTTCTACAGCGAGGGCAACAACGCTAACCTTCGAGGACTCCTGGGCTCCTGTGTTGCTGAAGCCCTTGGCAGAGTGTCTGACGAAGAGCAGGTGACGCTGGGGACTGAGGTGGGAGGGAAGGGACCCGGCTTCCGTTCTGGGCTCTGCCGGAGTCCCAGAGCTAGTCCCTCAACTCCTCTGCAGCCCGGCGCCCTCTAAGCGGGGGAGACGCCCACTGCACAGAGCTGTTGGCACTTTATTTATTTGTTAAGATTTATTTGCAAGGCAGAGTGACAGAGAGAGAGAGAGAGAGAGAGAGAGAGATATCTTCCATCCACTGGTTCACTCCCCAGACGGCTGCAGCTCCAGGCCGAAGCCAGGGTCCAGGAGCTTCATCCGGGTCTCCCACGTGGGTGCAGGGCCCCAAGCACTTGGGCCATCCTCTGTTGCTTTCCCAGGCACATTAACAGGAAGCTGGATCGGAAGTGGAGCAGTAGGCATCTCAAGTGGGGCTTAACCTGCTGGAATTCCGTCCCCATCTGGAATTTTTAAAGTGTCCACAGGAAGGGTGGGGGAGGGGGAATGAAGTGCCCCCAGTCCCAGCGGGGACAAGGTGGGTGCGAGGGAGGCACTGGCCCAGGCTGGGGAGGGCCTCTCGGTCACTCCGGCAGAAGACTCCCAGGCCAGAAGTCACCCTGCCCAGCCCCGCAGGGCTGGGACTCGGCTGGCAGTGTCCTCAGGCCAGCGAGGCCGTCTTTACGGAGTCCTGCAGGCGCTGTCCCCTTAAGCTCTCGGCGACCCAGGCGGTCCCAGGCGCTGGCAGTTCTCAGGCCTTCACTGGATCTTCTGCAGATCTTCGGGCCCAAAGGAGGCAGGCAGCAGCTCCTGGACTGTCCTGACCACATACGTGCCATCCGGCTTGGTCATGTACACGGCCCAGTTGGTGCCAAACTGGAAAAGAGACGGAGCCAGTGTGAAGGGGGGGGGGGTGTGGCGGGAAGACTGGAACAGACCGGGTTGCAGTCTGGCTCTCCCGCTTACTGACTGATGGCCCATCCATCCATGCCCTTTTTTTTTTTTTTTTTTTTTTTTTTTAAGATTTTATGTATTTATTTGAAAGGCAGAGTTACAGAGAGGCAGAGGCAGAGGAAGAGAGAGAGAGAGGTCTTCCATCCTCTGGTTCACTCCCCAGATGGCCGCAACGGCTGGAGCTGTGCCAATCCGAAGCCAGGAGCCAGGAGCTTCCTTTGGGTCCCCCATGCAGGTGCAGGGGCCCAAGGACTTGGGCTATCCGCTACTGCTATCCCAGGCCATAGCAGAGAGCTGGATAAGAAGAGGAGCAGCCGGGACTAGAACCGGTGCCCATATGGGATGCCGGCGCTTCAGGCCAGGGCGTTAACCCGCTGTGCCACCGCGCCAGCCCGCCATCCATGCCTTAGTTTTCTCATCTGTAAGACGGGGATGATGCTAGCCGTTCCTGGGACATAGAGCTTGAGAGAGGAGCGCGGTAGTGGATGCTGGTAAACATTAGCCCAGCGCTTGGCACGTTAATGAGCAAGAAATGCCCCCACTGCGAATCAGCCAGGCACAAGAGCGGTTACCTGACCCCTGAAGCCAGACTTCATGGAAAAGTCACACCAGATACTGCACGCACATTATTTCAGTATCCACCCTCAGTGGTAGGTGTTATTATTGTGCCCATTTTATTGATGAGAAAACTGAGACCTAGCAGAGGCAAGTCAGCAAAGACAGCTCCGTCTCCCAGTTGTGTGCTGTGTGACCTTGGAGGAATGGGTGCTCTTTGGGTGGATCTGGCACTGTGAAAGGGTCTTAGAGGGGCTGGTGCTGTGGCTCAGTGGATTAAAGCCCAGGCCTGAGGCTCCGGAATCCCAAATGGGTGCCGGCTCGAGTTCTGGGTGCTCCACTTCTGATCCAGCTCCCTGCTATGGCCTGGGAAAGCAGTGGAAGATGGCCCACACCGGGTGCTAGTCCTGTTTGCTCCTCTTCCAGTCCAGCTCTCTGCTGTGGCCTGGGAGGGCAGTGGAGGATGGCCCAAGTGCTTGGGTCCCTGCACCCGCATGGGAGACCAGGAGGAAGCACCCGACTTCTGGCTTCGGATTGGCCGTGGCGGCCATTAGGGGGGTGAACCAACAGAAGGAAGACCTCTCTGTCTCTACCTCACTGTAACTCTCTCTCTGCCTCTCTCTCTCTCTCTCTCACTGTCTAACTGCCTATCCGATAAGAAAAAAAAAAGATGGCCCAAGTCCTTGGGCACCTGCTCCCACGTGGGAGACCCAGAAGAATCTCCTGGCTCCTGGCTTCGGATTGGTTCAGCTCCAGCAGTTGTGGTCATTTGGGGAGTGAACCACGGATGGAAGGTTTCTCTCTGTCTCTACCTCTCTCTGTTAACTCTTTCAAATAAATAAAATAAATCTTAAAAAAAAAAAAAAGGGGGTCTTAGAGACCCTGGCGAGAGGGTGGGAGGAGGGGAGTTCAACCAACTGTGGCCTCGTGGGGACAGCCCCGGGGGTCAGGGTCAGCAGAGCTGGGGGGCCTCTGGGCGAAGCGGGCAGCGGGCGCTCGTCCATCATTCTGACGGGTGACGCTGTTGCCGGGCCTGCTCCTCCCTGCTTCGGTCTGAGTCACTGGTTCTTCCCCAGACACAATCAATCTTCCGGCTTTTTCGGAATTAATGTTTTAAGGAAGGGCAGTTTTCGGCTTGGCAGGCTCTGCCTGGCGGGCTGGACGGAGGCTGGGCAGAGGGAGTGTGCAGGGCCGGTCCCCAGCCCCCAGCCCCCAGCCCCCAGCCCTGCCCGCCCCTCCTGCGGCTTTTCTCATGCGCCCGCCCACTCTCACTTGCCAACTTCTAGTCTGGCGAAAACAGCAGCGAGCAATTGAATCAAGCCGGGGACTTGGCGCCCTGTCCCGGCTGGCTCCCTTAGGCGACCTTAGCCAAGGCCACCCTGCGGGGCAGCTCTCTCCACCCCCACCCTGTGAAGTCAGCGCTGGCCCAGCGGAGTGAGCTCTGCGCACCGGGCAGGCATGAAGCCGGCGGCGGCCGGCCCCCTCCGCTTGCCTCCCAGCGCCCCGGCACGGAGGCCCGGCCCCAGCATTCCCCTCGGCCTCCAGCGGCCGACCCGGGGCGCCAGCGCTTCCAGACAGCACCGACCCATTCATTCCCCCAAGGACGGGCACAGCAGCAGGGGGAGGGGCTGGCCGGGGCTGCAGCTGTGGAAGCCTCCGACTTCTCTCAGGCTTGGGGCGCTCAGAGAATGAACGCGGTGAGGATTGAGCAAACGCTGTGCTACGGGGGCTGAAGCCGGCTCCCGGAGCTCTGGGGCCATGGGACACTGAGCTGGCGGCTCTCATACTTCCGGACCCTGGAGGTGGCACCTCTTGGGGGATGCCTGCGAGCTACCCCTCCCCACATGTACACACCAAGCCCAGAATCTTCCAGGGGTCCAGATCTAAACCACCCCTTTGCTTTTAGAACCCATGCCCTTCAGGTTTCTTTCTTTCGTTCTTTCTCTTTATCTCTCTCTCTCTCTCTTTCTTCCCCACTTATTTCTTATGGGGTCAAACATGTAGAACGTAAGATTTGCCACTGCAGCCATTTCCAAGTGTACGGTTTGGTTCCCCTTATGGGTGGGGTAAAGCGTCCCTCTGGGATAAACCCACATCCTGTGGCTTCCCTGCCGTGTCCCAGCCCTTTTGGCCTTCTTTTATTTATTTATTTTTTTAAGATTTATTTATTTATTTGTGAGGTAGAGTCACAGACAGAGAGAGGGAGAGACAGAGAGAGAGGGCTTCCGTCCGCTGGTTCCCTCCCCCAATGGCCGCAACAGCGGGGGCGCCCTTCTTTGTGTGAATATTTTAGAACTGTGCACAGGTGGTTGCTGCCGGTACGAATCACAGGGCACTTATTTGCTTGTATATTAGCTCTATTGTATTTTCAGTCCCAAGCACTAGGGCCACCTTCCACTGCTCTCCCAGGCCATAGAGGAGAGCTGGATCGGAAGAGGAGCAGCCGGGACTAGAACCGGTGCCCATATGGGATGCGGGCGCCGCAAGCCGAGGCTTAGTCCCCTGCGCCACAGCACAGCCCCCCCCCCCCCCCCCCCGTCTTCTCAGTCCTCTCAGAGTCACCAAGTATCTGGGCAGGAAACTCACTCTCTCCTCTGCCAGGAAATCTCCAGACCCCTGTCTGTCTCATCTTTTCTCGAGCTTTACTTTTCTACTCAAAGACAGCCCCTTCCTGGCCTTCAGAAGCAGGGGTCAGGGATGGCTTTGTGGCACAGTGGGTTGAGCCACCACCTGTGACACCAGCATCCCGATACTGGAGCGCAGGTTCAAGGCCAGGCTGCTCCACTTCCAGTCCAGCTCCCTGTTAGTGCACCTGGGAGAGCAGCGGAGGGTGCTCCCACCCACGTGGGCGACCTGAATGGAGCTCCTGGCTCCTGGCTTCAGCCTGGCCCAGCCCCAGCCATTGCTGCCATTTGGGAGTGAACGGTGGATGGAAGACCTCTCTCTCTCTCCCTCTGCAGCTCTGCCTTTCAAATAAATAAATCTTTTTTTTTTTTTTTTTTTAAAGAAGAACTGGCAAACTTTATTCCATCAAGGGCCAGGCAGTGGCAATCCTGGTGCTGCTGGCCATGCGGCCTCTGTGGTCACTGCTCCACTCCGCTGCTGCAAGGCCTGCGCAGCCGTAGATGGGAGCAAAGGGGCCTGGCTGGGTGCCAATAAAGCTTTTTTTTTTTTTTTTGACAGGCAGAGTGGACAGTGAGTGAGAGAGACAGACAGAGAGAAAGGTCTTCCTTTACCGTTGGTTCACCCTCCAATGGCTGGCGTGGCCGGCGCATGGCGCTGATCCGAAGGCAGGAGCCAGGTGCTTCTCCTGGTCTCCCATGGGGGGCAGGACCCAAGCACTTGGGCCATCCTCCACTGCACTCCCTGGCCACAGCAGAGAGCTGGCCTGGAAGAGGGGCAACAGGGACAGAATCTGGCGCCCCGACCGGGACTAGAACCCAGTGTGCCGGCGCCGCAAGGCGGAGGATTAGCCTAGTGAGCCGCGGCGCTGGCCGCCAATAAAGCTTTATTTACACAAACAAGCGGAGGCTGGGTTGGGCCCCCAGGCCCCTGACTTGGGGTGTTGAGTGCTGGACGCCTGTTCCTGCCTGTCTGGGTGAGCTCCGTGGGGGCGGCTCTGTCTGCAGAGAGCAGGTGTGGGACATCGAAGGCACTCTTCCAGGGACACAGGCGACCTTGGGCAGACCTGCGCAGGACCGCGGCTGCGTCTGCCTGCGTGGACAGCTGCTCCCGCAGGCAGCCTGGCGGAGCGCGCGGCGTCAGTTTACATCCAGGAAGAAACCGGAGCTGCTTACCTCTCTCATGACTTGCCGGCAGGCCCCGCACGGCGAGATGAAGTCATCTTCCAAGTCACTGGAGAGGCAGAGAATCAAACCCAGGTCAGTCTCTCCGCCCCGCTCCAGCGGAGGTCAGACCCATCAGGCAGCTCCGCGTCCCCGCGGACCCCACGGCCACGGGCGGAAGGTTCATGAACACGCAGAGGTGCCCACAGCCCTGCAAAGGCTGGGGAGGGTTTCTCTGTGGCCTTTTTTTTTTTTTTTTTTTAAATATTTATTTGCTTGAGAGGCAGAGTCACAGACAGAGAGGAGAGGCAGAGAGAGAGGTCTTCCATCCACTGGCTCACTCCCCAAATGGCAGCAATGGCTGGGGCTGGGCCAGGCTGAAGCCAGGAGCCAGGAGTTTCTTCCAGGTCTCCCACACAGGTGCAGGGGCCCAAGGACTTGGGCCATCTTCCACTGCTTTCCCAGGCACATTAACAGGGAGCTGCATCAGAAGAGGAGCAGCTGGGACTTGAACCAGCGCCCATATGGGATGCCAGCACTGCAGGCGAAGGCTTAACCTTCTATGCCACAGCGCCGGCCCCTGTCTGTGTCCCTTGAGAGCCGGCTCACACCAGAGGGTGAAAGAGAAAATGTTGAGTTCTCACCTCCAAGACAATGCAGTAAGGACGCAGTGGCAGGGAGGTGAGCTCTGCCTACAGAGACAGCATGCTCCCTGGAGGAAGTGGCACTGGGTCCAGGCTTAGCGAAGTGTAGAATCTTACAGCATCATTTCGGAAGCAGCTCCTACACAGACACCAGGTTCTGTAGCAGGAGGCGTTTGACGCACGTTGTTTCACTTCACCTGGGGGGCCTCAGAACGGCCATTTCATGTTTTGGTGGCGTAAAGGAACACAGATGGTCTTCTGCAGCACCAGGTTTTTCTGTGTTGCAGGCAATGGTCATAAGTAGTATGTGCAAAGGCCCTGAGGCTCAGAGGAATTAAGACATTTGAGAATCAAAGAGAAACGTGGGCTCGTTGCATCTGGGAAAGCTCGCAGAAGAGAGGCTGACAGCCAGGGCTTGCCTCTGAGGGCGATCCTTGAAGGTGAGTTTATCCCGTATCATCTTATTGTATACGCTGTACTCTATGCACTACTTTTTTTTTTTTTTTTTTTGACAGGCAGAGTGGACAGTGAGAGAGAGAGAGACATAGAGAAAGGTCTTCCTTTGCCGTTGGTTCACCCTCCAATGGCCGCCACAGCCGACGCGCTGCAGCCGGCGCACTGCACTGATCCAAAGGCAGGAGCCAGGTGCTTCTCCTGGTCTCCCATGGGGTGCAGGGCCCAAGGACCTGGGCCATCCTCCACTGCCTTCCCGGGCCACAGCAGAGAGCTGGCCTGGAAGAGGGGCAACCGGGACAGAATCCGGTGCCCCGACCGGGACTAGAACCCGGTGTGCCGGCGCCGCAGGTGGAGGATTAGCCTATTGAGCTGCGGCGCCAGCCTCTACGTACTACTTTATACTTCGTCTTATATATCACCAGTAATGGTTTCCTCTTCTCATGTGTGCCTAGAATGTGCCAGGCACCCTGCAGAGTCTTGTCTATGCATTGTCTCATTTTGATCGACAAATATTTACTGAGCACGCACTGACCCTGGTGCTGGATGTGCAGTGGTGGCCAAACAGATACGAGTTCTTGTGCTTTGGAGCTTATAAACCGGAGAGTGGAGCCAGCAAGCCAGCACCCGGCAACCCAGCAACCAGAGTTCAAGTGCAGAGACAGGAAGAGCACGGAGCAGCCGTGGGGCAGACGCTCCCTGGTAACTGCCTTTCACCTGCGGGGCTCCCATCAAAAAATGATTCTGCTGCATGGAAAACTGGGGTCCCCTCTGAGCTTCCAGCTTCAGAAGAGAAGTCTGGGAACACAAAAGGGCGGGGACCCTGGCCCAGGATGCCCACTGGGCCAAGTTAACCCTCGCAATACCCAGGTGAAGGCTGTGGCCTCTCTCAAGCTCTTTGGGGGCTGGACCGATGCGGTCCGTCTATTTCACTCCAGCCACGTGGACTGAGAGCCAGCTGTCGGTGAGGCAGGCCTGGCTTCAGGGCCCTCTGCCGGCTGCAGGGGGAGATGGGTTTCTATGTAGAGGCGGCCACACAGGCAGGGCCCTGGGCAGGTGTGGAATCCAGCCTCCCTTCCGTGGCCTGAGGCCCTGGCTGATGCGGCCCTGCGATCAGAGCCCCAGTGAACAGCTCCTTGGACAAGGCGACCTGCACTGGGGCTTTCAAGGGGGGTAAACATGCAGCACACGGGGAAGTCAGACTTGGCCCAGGCGTTGGCCATCCCCAGTCACAAGACGGTGCCTCTGGCAGCCTGGCTCTGGGCACCGGCACACGGACCAACGTCGGCAGGATTTCTGTCATGCGTGGGTTAGGCATGGTGCCAAGGCCCTCAGGTGTGTGAGCTCACTTGATCCCGCAACAGCCCTGGAGGGTAGGGACACGCAGCACGGCACGGCCCCAGGGCCGCAGGGCGAGCAGTTGCGTCCTTGCGGAAGCAGCAATCACACCTTTAGAGCAGTGGTTTTGATTCCCTACATCCTTTGCACCAGGAACTTTACAGAGACCATCCCACGAGTCCTCCCAACAGCCCAGTGTGGGAAAAAATGAAGAGCTAGGCCCAGAGGAACTATGGGACTTGGCTGCAGCCGACAATGGAGCCGGACTGGAAACCAGTCCCACCAACCCTGCAGGCTGAGCTTGCAACCACTGCTCCACGTCTGCCCGGAAGAACGGAACAGGCCGGAATGGGCCGGCTGCATCAGGACGCTTCTTCCATGCTCCCCCCTTCCCCGGCCCCCTTCTCCCTCTCCGCTCCCTGCCCCCAGTCCTGCCTTTCGCTGAGTATCCATGGTGTTCTCCGGTTTGTGCTGACCTTGGTCACACGCTGAGATCATGCTTATCAGACTTGACGGGCTGGAAACCTATCTGCTTTGATGCCTCCAGCGGGGCCCCAGGAGGCCCGCTCAGAGTCCCATCCAGGGCTCCGCAGACGCGCGCACCTGTTGTGGGCGCAGTCTCCCGCCCTACAGATCTCAGAGGGGCTCTCAGACTGCTCAGCCCCGTCCAGCGTTTTAACAAGGCACTTGGCAGCTTCCATTCATCCACGCTCCCAATTTAACAAATCATTAGTGCAGTAATGACTGGTGCAGGGGGAGTACCTGCGGAGAGCTGCTGGGTGCACAAGAATGGGAGGTTCTGTGTAAATAAGGACATTTGCTAACGATTGCTGGCACCACCCAGGGAGGTTTCCCAGCAGGCAATGACCAGGAGGGAAAAAGCCTCTCATTTGGAGGATCCTTGACAGGGGAGGCGGCTGTGCCCGTGCCCTCTCGTTGACTTTGGCCTCTTTGTTCCCAGAAGAGCATTATTTTCTTGGATCAGCTTTGAAATTGAGTTATTTCCCCTCCCCTTTTTTTTTTTCCTACAGCGAGATTTGAACGCTGATCTCTGCTCATCTGCACAAAATGTCCCCAGCACAGCCTCATTCGCTCCTCCCCCAGCCAGAGGGAAGCCAGGACAGACCTCCGGTCGCTGCGATGGCTCTGGGCAGCCTGGCCTTTCTCAAGTGCACCCTTGGCTCCACTCATTCGGGCACAAACTCTGAATAAGCGGGAGCGCCTGGGGAGGCCAGACCGCCACCAGACTTCCGGATTCTAGAAAAGACTCGTCTTGACTGCACGGTCTCACGTGGCCGCCGTGCAGCTCTTTCTGGGTGGGTTACTCACTTCTGTGTCGTTTTCCCCGGAGCGTCCATCTACTGAGAAAATGCTCACTGCCGAGAGCAGTGCGCCATTCATCGTGAAACGAATGGGGTCCGAGTCAGGAAATGGGGCTGGGCTTGACCCGCCCAGCCCGCTGAGTCTGGGTCCAGGCCCAGCCAGAACTCAACCTGCTGCCCCTTGGGTCTTAGTTTCTTTGGCTGTAAAATGGGGGTGATGGCAGGGGAGCCCGTTACCAGGTGATGTTTAGGTCCCTCCAGCTTTGGGCTTCTCTGCTTTCTGTTGTACTTTGTGGGGTTGGAACAGGAACACCTGCCCTGCAGTGGAGCGACCTTGGTCCTTGGTTTACCGACTCTGTGGGCTCATGGGGGCTGGGGCCACTTCTTCTGTATCTCTTTATCCTTGGCCTTCAGCCCAGGGTCCTGCTCAGGGCCCGGCACACAGAAAGCACACACATGGATGGGTGGACAGTAGGTACCTGCAGGACATGGGCTGCAGAGGCGAATGGGTACTGTAGCGGCAGGGCTCTTCCACTTACCTGGCAATGGCAATGGCCCTGAACTCCTGGTACCCTTCGGAGATGGCCTTCTGGATGGCGGTCCTCTCAGCACAGACGCCCAGTGGGTAGCAGGCATTTTCTATGTTGCACCCTAAAAAGAGAGGGGCGCCCAGGAGTGGATCCAGCAGGGCCACTTCCTGCTGCCTGTGTTGGGTAAGTGGCTTGCCTCATTCCAGGGCAGGGCGGAAATGGTTACCCACACATGGTAAGGAGAAGGGGAGGGCAACGTGATCCGAAGCAGTGCTGGGCTCCTGGGCCCCTTGTGCAGCGGCCCCGCCCAAGGCTTCTGCCCTCACTGCCCCAGGGCCTCCATCCTGATGCCCGGCCTGGGAGCAGGGGCAGCATAACAGGGCGGACTAAGCAACGGACCCCCCTTGCAGAGGTCAAGGTGAAGTGAAGGCTCAGGTTCAAGAAAATCAGCAGAGCCCCCAGGCCTGGATCTCAGTGCTGGGAGCCATGGGTTGGGGTCTGCTGTGGTCTTCATGTTTTTATACCCTGCCTCCCCTGTTCCTATGTTGAAATCCTAGACCCCAAGATGATAATGTTAGGAGGTGGGGGGATTAGTGCCCAGGGAGCTGCCTGTGGGGACACAGTGGCAGGAAGGTGCCAACCCTGAGAAAGCGGAGTCCCCGCCAGGTGCTGAACCTGCTGCTACCTTGAACTTGGGCTTCCCAGGCCCCAGAACTGTAAGAAAAAAACTTCTGTTGTCTAGAAGCTACCTGGGTATTTGGCTGTGGGGTGCTGGTTACCCAACAGGGCTCAGCCAGTGTTCTCCATGAGTCGTGTTGCTAAACAAACTGTCCAAGCCAATAAATCAGTGAATGAGCGAACCTGAGCCTGCGAGCTCTGTGGCAGGTGCCTGGGACGTCACAAGCATGGGGCAGTCCTGGGGCTTCCTGGGGGCGGTGGGCTCACCTCCTGGGAAGGGAGTCCTCCCTCGGGGCTAGTGTTTCTCTCAGGGGTGTTTTTCTCAGGAGTGAGCCACGGCTGCTCCCAGAGACAAAACCACGGCCTGGCCAGAGGCGCAAAGAAACACCCCATTTTCTGAGCTTTCCCTGGGCTCTGGCAAATGGTCCACGCCACACTGTAGCCTGCCTCTCTCCGAGAGCAGCGCTATTGATGGTCCCTGGTATTCAATGCCTAGTTCTTCCTTTATGGAACCCAAGCGACTCTGTTCTAAGACGGCTGACTGCATGGCCACTCAGTCGGAGACTGTATGTCCCAGATTTCCTTGAGGCCAAGTGTGGCCATGTGACTAAGGTTTGGCCAATGGAATGTGACCCAAAGTGATACGGAAGATTTACAGATTAAATTTGTTTTTAAAATTCATTTTCATTCATTTGAAAGGCAGCCTCTCTCTCTCTCTCTCTCTCTCTCTCTCTCACACACACACACACACACACACACCCCTTCCATCCACTTGGTTCACTCCCCAAACACCTGCAACAGCTATGGCTGGGTCAGGCCAAAGTTGAGAGTCAGGAGCTCCATCTAGGTCTCCCATGTGAGTGCTAGGGAGTGAACCAACTTGCGCCCTCACCCGCTGCCTCCCAGGGTGCACGTTAGCAGGAAGCTGGGTGGGAAGCAGAGATGGGACTTGAAGCCCGGCTCTGGGATACGGGTGCAGGCGAGCGAAGAGTGGCTTACCTGCTGTGTCAACAGCACCTACTCCCAGCTCATATTTTTTGGCAAGGAGTTTGCTTGCCTATTAATTCCTCTTTTCCCCTTTCCCAAGCAGGAAGGTGGAGGTGATGGGGTGAGACAGCTTGGTGTGGTTTATGTCATTGGGATGAAGAAGCAAAGAGAGATGACACTGTGTCAACTCATGGCACACAGGTGCCACTCTGTCCTGGGCCAGCTGCCCGCTCTGAGTTGCGCTGTGAGAGAAAAGGGAATTCTATCACGTTTGCCTCAGTGTGGTTTGGGATCTTCCTGTTACAACAGCGCAACCTACATTCACTAAGAGGGAAATGTGCGCTCAGAGTGAGATGCATCATAGCCAAAAACTCTGAAATGCAGGGCTTAGTGATTGGTCACTGGGAGCGAGACCATGCAGGGCTGGTCAGGCAGAACGCAGATGAGCCTCGTCAGCCTGCAGCAGGTTACGCTGTGGTCACCTAGAAGGCTGGCCGCTCACCCGGTGACGGGAATCGGCCTCGTGGAGAGATCTACTGAAGATATCATTTTCCTACTCAGCCTGTTGTTGCAGGAACCTCCATAGCTGCCACTGAAGTCAGGAGCAAAGGGCCAGGCATTTGGCCAAGTGGCTAAGACATTGCTGGGCCGGGGGCGGGGTAGGGGCTGGTGTTGTGCACAGTAGGTCAAGCCACTGACTGCAAGGCTGGCGTCCAATGCTGGAGCACTGGTTCAGCCCCCAGCTGCTCTGCTTCAGATCCAGCTCCCTGCTAATGCACCTGGGAAAGCAGCAGCAGATGCTCCAAGTACTTGGACCCCTGCCCCCAGATGGACGACCCAGATGGAGCTCCTGGCTCTTGGTTTTGGCCTGGCTCAGCCCTGGCCATTGCAGCCATTTGGGAAGTGAATCAGTGGATGGAAGATCTCTTCTTTCTCTGTCTCTCTCCCTCTCTCTGTCTACTCTGCCTTTCAAATAAAAAAAATCTTTTTTTTTTATTAAAAGATACTGCTTGTGACACCACCACCCCATACTGAACTGCCCAGGTTCGAATCCTGTCTCCGTTCCCAAATCCAGCTTCCTGCTGAAGTTCTCCCTGGGAGGCAGCAGGTGGTGGCTCAAGTACTTGGGTCCCTGCCGCCCACGTGGGAGACCCAGAGTGAGCTCCCCGCTCCTCGGCCTGGCCCAGCCCCTGCAGGCGTTTGTGGAGTGAACCAACGGATGAGAGAGTTCTCTTTCTCTCAAATAAAATAAAAAAAATTAAAAAGGAAGGAAGAAAGATGAGAAGTAGGGACGGGCCAGGCCTGGAGGCCAGTCCGCAAAAACCAGAACGTGTCAGGCTCCGGAGCGCGCCCGGAGGGGCTCTCTGGGTGCGGCACTCCTGCATGGAGGTGGCTAGAAGCAGGCACATCAGGAGCTTTCAAAAAATTCCTGTAGGACTGCTCAGCCCAAGAAGCCACAAGCCGGGGCAGGCCTGCGAAAGCCTGGGTTTAATCCCTGCGGAGACTCTGGGGCCCCCGAGCGCCCCCGGAAGTGGCTGGGAGAGCGGTGTTCTCCCCAGCACAGCACAGTCCCCCGGATGTGTGGCCAAGGACGATCACAGTGAAGGGCAGAGCCAGGGCCCCAGCAGCTGACAGGCAAGGTTACTCGGAGCAGAAAGGGCAGGGGGCGAGGGCCAGGGCAGAGGGCGAGGGCCAGGGCAGGGGGCGTGGGCCAGGGCAGGGGGGTGAGGGCGAGGGCCAGGGCAGGGGGCGAGGGCCAGGGCAGGGGGCGGGGGCGAGGGCCAGGGCAGGGGGCGTGGGCCAGGGCAGGGGGTGAGGGCGAGGGCCAGGGCAGGGGCGGGGGCGAGGGCCAGGGCAGGGGGCGTGGGCCAGGGCAGGGGGCGAGGGCCAGGGCAGGGGCGTGGGCCAGGGCAGGGGGCGTGGGCCAGGGCAGAGGGCGAGGGCCAGGGCAGGGGGCGGGGGCGAGGGCCAGGGCAGGGGGCGTGGGCCAGGGCAGGGGGCGGGGGCGAGGGCCAGGGCAGGGGGCGTGGGCCAGGGCAGGGGGCGAGGGCCAGGGCAGGGGGCGTGGGCCAGGGCAGGGGGCGAGGGCCAGGGCAGGGGGCGTGGACCAGGGCAGGGGGCGAGGGCCAGGGCAGGGGGCTGTGGACACGCGGCTGCTGCGTGCTCCCTGGTCCCTCTCTTCACTGCTGCCATTTCACAATGTAAACCACAAGCGGAAGTGAACCTGAGCGCAGATCACGAGGACTGTGCTGGGGCGGGACTTCCGGTCACCCCTCCTGGGGGTGGTGAGTGGGTGCTGTGTCCGGGAGGAAGGAGGTGTACGAATACTTCCGGGTCAGAAGGGCCCCGGGTGGGGGCAGAAGCTACCACTCGTCCCCCGTGTCCCCTCTCCCAGGGGACGCCGCTGGGGTTGGCTGGGCACAGGGCCACGCATTGCCCTGCCTCCCTGCCGCTTCCTGCAGTGCCGTAGCTTTAGCCAGGGGGTATGGGCGGGAGCGGGGGTGCAGTGAGCACGCGGTGGTGGCATTCCGAGAACACTGCTGCCTTCCACGCCCTGCTGCACACTCGGGGCTGGGGCGTGGATGGGACGAGGAGGGCCAGTGTAGAACCGCGGATGAGAAGGAACCTGACCTCCCGAGCTGCCCTGGGCCACGACGAGAAAGAAGCAGCCTTCTTGTTCCAGCCACTGAGCTTTGTCCTTGGGCCCTTGCCCTGACATGGGGGACCCCACCTGGGAGACCCAGATGAAACTCCTGGCTCCTGGCTTCAGCCTGGCCCAGCTCCGGCTTTTGCAGCCATTTGGGGGAGTGAACCAGCGATGGAACATCTCTCTCTGCCTCTGACTTTCTCTGCCTCTCCCCTCTAAGCCCCACTCCTGGAGCTCCCAATTCAATACACAGATCTGGGTTGGAGTCCAGGAGTCGCATTCCTAACACGGAACCTCTGGGTCTTGGGGTCTGGGGTCCCATCTGAGAGTCCCCCGACCAGAGGAAGGCCACGCCCACGTGTGTGCTTGAAGACATCCTGGCTTCTGCACGTTCCTAGCCCCCTGCCCTCTTGCAAGACATCAGCTCATGGGCAAATGATATTTTAACACAACTCAAGCTCAGCTTTGTAGGAAGCCACTTTTGGGTAACAGCGGAGAGGACTGAATGGCACTCCCTGTGGGGCGGGGGCAGGGGAGAGGACAGGGGGTCTCCCGCTGCAGGGAAGCCCTTCCAAGCAGAGAAAGGAACCCAGGGAGGGGGAGTCGGAGAGCAGGGGCTGGGTTTGGGAGCGGACAGTTGGAAGGGGTAAGCCCAGGCCGCTGGAGTCAGCCAGTAAGGAGGACAACCTTAAATGTTTCTTCCCTGTGACCCGAGCTGGCCTGGTACAGGGGTTTTTTCCTTAAGCGGCAGGCGGAGAGGGCTGGAAAGGGAGTGAGACCACTGCCCCGAGGCCATGGGCTGAACAAGGGACTCCCCCGCCCCTTGGGTGGTGCCTGCAGAGTTGGGTCAGTCACCCACTGTCCCTAGACAGTGCCACCTTGGGCAGCGCCTCCCAGGCTGGCCAAGATCCCATAGGACTCCCCTGCACCCGTCTCCCAAGGGACATTCCACAGGCAGCCTCTGCCCCGTGTGTGCGGCCCAGCCCCCCACCCCCACTTTCTCAGTGCCCCTTGTCCCATCCCACCGCTGCTCCTGATGCTCCCCCCCCCCCCCCAGCTCCGGCTTCTCCTGGGGCTCCGCCCCTCTCTGCCTCTCCCCAGGAGCAATCAATCTGTTGCAGGTGTTAATTTATCATCCTGGGTGGCCCAGTGTGAGCAGCACAAGGCCCTGGCCAGGGTGGGCAGGAGCAGAGGGGATAATGATGGTGATCACCAGGTCGTGACAGCAGAGCTGTCTTGCAGCCAGGCTGGCTTTTGAATGGGACGGCCCAGCTGCCTCTGCGGGTGGGAACTCCAGGGAGCCTGGGCTTGGGTTCAGCTGCGGGAAGCCACAGGCCTGGGCAGAGCTGTCCCACCAGCAGCTTTCAATTCAGTGTAGAGATTCGGCTGTGCCCTCTCTGTCCCCAGGTCTCCTGCCCTCCAGTTGCTTGAGGTCCCCTCCTCTCCAAGTCCCACCTTACTGCTACCCACCTCCCCCACCCCCACCCCTCTGCATCTGGCCTCAGTCCCAGTCTCAGTAAGCAGACCCAGAAAGCCTAATTCCCGGTTTGTCCCCATCTTCTTCTGAGCACTGCTCTCTGTCTCCTCCCACCTACCCACCCTGGCCAGGGGCAGCAGGAAGAGCACAGTGTTAGAGCCCAGAACAGACTGGGCCTCATTTAGCCTGCTCATGAACTGTAGACGCTCTGCCTCCTGGTCTGGTCTGCTGAGGAGGGCTATGTGACTCAGCAGGCGCAATCACGCTACCACATCAGGACCACTGTGATTGGACGAGGAATATGCCTGTAACTGAAGATGGACCAATCAGGGCCCTGTCCTGGAATCTTTTTTTCCATCTGGAGTTGGTGGGAAAGAATTCTTTGCATTCTGTTTTCAAGCCTGTGTAGCTGAAAACCAGGGGCTGTGCAGCCGGACACCCAGGCAAGACCTGCCCGCGGGGTAAGAGTAAGAAACCGGCACCCTGAAGGTTAAAGAAAGGATGGGACATCCGAGTTCCGGATCCAGCCGCCCTGAGCCAACACCCACCCTTGTTCTGGTTCTGGCTGTGTGTGTGACTCTAGCTAGCTGTACGTGACCCTCGGCGTCTCCCTCACACGGGGGCTGTGAGATTACGAGCAATCATCCACACGCAGGGCTTCCTGTTTGTTGCACCACTGTAACCATTAACGCTGCACCTTGACACACGACACAGCTCTGCCTCAGCTTCTCACCTAGAGCTGGCCCTTGTCACGTCCCGGGTCATGTGGCTGCAGATCCCTAGGTCTGTCCCCTTCATTTCTCATGCTGTCCATCCCAGGCCGGGTCCACCTGTCCCAGGCACCGTCTCTCACATCTTTCCTTCCTCTTCCTTCCACTGGCCACCGTTGTGGTCCAAGCCATCCATTCTTGCCTTCATGAACCTTAACCAAGGAGCAGGTTATGGGCCAGGCAATGTGCCGACACCATGGACAGGTAGTGACCGAGGCAGGCATTGTCTCCTTGGCACTGTTCCCTCTGCTCCAGTCACCCCGTGTACCTGTCGGACCAACTGTTTGCAAATGGCACTTTGATATCACTCTTCTTAGTGACATTCCTTGGTTCCTACTTTCTACTTCTTCAGATCTAATGCCTCTGCTCTCCTCCTGAACTCCTACACCATCTGTCCTGCAGACGGTAGTAATGATCCCATTAACAGTAGCAGCGGGGTAGCAGCCACCATTTGTGCCATTCTTATTGTGAACCAGAGACTGTGCTAAGCACCTTATGAGCCTCCAATCATTTAAGCCTGGATTGAACAGGACTTGGCTCCCTAAGCTGAAACCCCAGTGTCTTACCCTGACCGTGTCAGCAGTCGGTGGGAGAGGTGGGGACTTGCTCCACAGGGTGGCTAGGAGGAGGGCCCGGTGGGAGGAGTTCAGGTCCCTGAGGCCTTGCCCTCCAGGGAGGGCGTTGGCTACCTAAGCCGAGTTCGGTCTGGCTTCCCTCTCTGCTTTGTGGCTCACCATGCAACCCTTCTCTACCCCGGCTCCAGTGTTGCTCCACCAGATGCCAGACGGATGGAGCCGCCCCATCCTGGGCTGTGAACCTCCAGAATTAACCTTCTCCCTCCCAAGAGACTCCTCTCAGCCCCGCTAGTCACGCTAACAGAAAGCAGGTTCACACAGCCTCACACCAAGTGGGGAGTTCCACCTACACCATGGCAGTCGGCAGCTTTGTCTCCTGTTTTTTCTTGAAGATTTACTAATTTAAAGTCAGAGTCAGAGAGAGACAGAGAGAACCTCCATCTGCTGGTTCACTCCCCAGATGGCTGCAATGGCCAAAGCTCGAAGCTTCATCCGGGTCTCCCACATGGGTGGCAGGGGCCCAGGTCCTTGGGCCATCTGCTGCTGCTTTTTCCAGGCCATTAACAGGAAGTGAAGCAGCCAGGACTCGAACCGGTGCCCATATGGGATGCTGAGCGGCTTAACCTGGTATTCCACAACACAGGCCCCCACCCCAGGCTTCTTTTGAAGGGGCTTCCAGGGGCTGCAAAGGTGTGAGAGTTAGCCTTTTTCTCAACAGGCTTTTCAAGAAAGAAAAGACCAGAGCTTATCGGCACGTGGCTTTGGAGTGATGGCTCCGGTGGCTGTCTGACCACCTGTCTGTCCCAGCAGGACACCAGTCTCAATGCTGGAAAAGCAGTCCCACTGCTGCCCCTCCCTGGACCTGCTGGGCCCCAGTGCCTCTCACCTCTGCCCCTCCAAACTCACCCACCTGCAAGGCTCAAGTCATGTATTCAGGCACCCAGTCCCCAAGTGCTCAGTGCCCGCCCTGCACCTGGACAGGTGCTTTGCAGCTGAAGGAGGTCCAAGGTACAAAGATCCCAGCCGAAGCCCCGTGGGGAGGCAGGTGTGGAAGTGCGCGGCACCCCTGAGCTCGGCGCTCCAGCAGGCGTCAGCCGGGCGCTGGGTGAGGCCCAGGGGACCTTCTCTTCCCTCGGAGAGAATCAGGGGCTGACTCCACGCCCAGGGCTCTGGGAGCTGCAGGCTGCAGTGATGTTTGCGCGGTGGTTACTGTTTAACACTCGCGTCCGCCTGCAGGCCAGCCTGTGTCTCCCCACGGAGCAACAGGCTCTGGACAGGGCAGCTCGGGGTTCCAATCCCAGCCCCGGGACCTTGGACACATTCGGTCCTCGGCCTCCTTCTCTGTCCTGCGGGGCTTGAGGGCTCCCTGGGTAGCAGCACCCACCCCCTTCCTTTCACAGGGGACCCTCAGTCAAGGGCACTTCTCCCCCTCAAAGGTGTTTGAAACCCAGGCCACCGACAGAACCTCGACACACTGGACACTTGTGGCTGTGTCCTGCCACGCCCACGCCACGTCCCAGATGTCCTGAATGGCTGCCCCTAAGCTTAACAAGTTTGAATTTGGGTTTTCAACAAAAGCAGCAAACCAAAGGAAAGCAGCTCAGGGGTCCCTTCCCTCCCAGCTCCCCAGGCTGTCACTCACGGCTGCACCCCAAGACCCTGGGCCAGGCCCACACCCCGCTGACAGGGACCCACCTGGATGCCCTCTTCCCCCCTCCGGCATCCCCCAGCACCCTTGAAGCAGGGAAGACAGCAGCGCTTTGGGGACTCCAGTCCCGGTTGACCATGGGCAAGTCATATCCCCTCTAGGGGCCTCAGTTTGTTCATCTACAAATGGGCACAACACCTAGGTTAGGGGTTGGAGGCCAGGACATTTACTGATACGCTCTGTGGAGACCTTGGCAAAGTGCCTATCACAGAGCAGGCTACGAAGCTATTAACCCCGCCCATGCTCCAGATCCATGGCCGCCCCCTCTTGTCTCGCTGCAAACTTCCCTGGCCACCCCAGGCTCGCCGCTGGCCCGGGGCAGCAGCTGAGTTTCCGAGGGTCCGCGCGAAGAGGGGACGCGCTGCACCGCTCTCTCCGCCGCCGCTGCCCGGCCCCCTCCGACTCCCCGCCCCCGCGCCGGCCTTACCCGAGAAGATCCTGCCGTCGCCCGTGAGCAGGGCGGCGCCCACGGGGAAGCGGCTGTAGGGGCAGTAGGCCGACTTCTTGGCCTCCCGGGAGCGGAGCAGCAGCTGCTGGACGTGCTCGGGCTCCAGCGCGCGGGACCGAGGCTGCTGGGCCATGTCGGTCCCCGGGTGGGCAGGTGCCGAGCGCGCGGCCGGCCGGCGCTGCGCCCGGAGCAGGCGGCTCCTCCCCCGGGGTGTGTCCCCGCGGCGACGGCCGGCCGGAGGCTCCCGGGGCGTGCGGGATGCGGGCCGGCGCCGGTCCGGGAGCGGAGCCGCCCACAGTCAGCGCCCAGGGCGTGGCGAGAAGGCGGTGGCGGCGGCCGCGTGCTTCTGCCGTCCCGCCCGCGCCCTCGTGGATGGGGCCGGGGGTGCGGTGTGGCCCGGGTCAGGACCAGCGGGTCGCGCGGGGTGCCCACGTGAGCCACAGAGGCGGGTGCCCGGGGAGCGCCCGACTGTCCCTGCGGGTCTGCGCAGAGCGGCGCACCTGGTGCCTCTCGGGCGGGAGTTTCTGTGGACACGAGCGCGGGTCCCCGTGCCTCCTCTCCCCCTCTCTCCTCTGGGAAAGCGAGCGTGCGGGTTTTCGGGATGCGGATTCCCGGAAAACCCTCCCAGCACCGCAGCCGTATGCTGTCACCGCCCATCAGCCGGCCCCAGGGCGAGGGCGAAACCCCAGCTAACAGGGTCCTGGGTCAGGAGTCCAGATGTGGGGTGTGCTCGCCAGTCTGCCTCTGGGATTGGTCCGCCTTCCACGGCACAAAGCTTAAAAGTCCCCAGTTCTCTGGCGCCTCCTGCACACATAGGCTAGGGTCTGTCTTGCTGTCTAAACTCTGTGCCCACACACTCCCCAGGGAATCCGTGTGGGAGCCAGAGGGCCAGACTCCACGGGCCCACAGTTCCCTTCTTGGTCTGTTGAGTGACCGCTCTCCTTCTCTGAGGGGAGGGATGAGCTGAGAGGGCAGGGCTGGAGCAGCCACATTGATTTGCAGAGTCAGGAGTGAGAAGAGCAGCAAGGAGACCGAAAGCTGCTTCGCTTTATTTTCGTTCATTTGCCCTCTGACCTCTACCCACCCCACCGCAGAATTAAAAGTATCTCAGGGGCCGGCGCTGTGGCGCAGTCGGTAAAGCCACTGCCTGCAGCGCCAGCATCCCATAGGGCACTGCTTCCAGTCTGGCTGCTTAACTTCCAATCCAGCTCCCTGCTAATGCGCCTGGGAAAGCAGCGGAAGGTGGCCCAAGTGCTCGGGTCTCTGCCACCCACATGGGAGACCGGGAAGAAGCTCCTGGCTCCTGGCTTTTTCCTGGCCCAGCCGTGGCCATTTGGTCATCTAGGAAGTGAACCAGCGGATGGAAGATCTCCTTCTCTTTAACTCTGCCTTTCAAATAAATCAAATCTCTATTTCAAAAAAGTATCTCAGCAGAGGACACTCTTGAGAGGCAGAGAGAGAGAGAGAGAGGAGAGCGAGCGAGCGCTAGCTCCCGCCTGCTCATTCACTCCCCCGAATGCCCACAATGGCTGGGACTAGGTCGGCTGACCGCAGTCCAGGGCTCCCACATGGGTGCAGGGAACCAGTTCCTTGGGCCATCGCCGCTGTCTCCCTCTGGGGTGCTCGCTAGTAGGACGCTGGAGTCAGGAGGCAGAGCCGGGAGCCGTGGAACACGGCCGTCTCAGCTGCCAGACTAAATGCCCACTGCTCATCTCCTCTGTTTATTGCCAAAACGGACACTGGGTTGGCGGCGCTGTCACAGAAACCTGGGGTGGGAAGACTCCCTGCGTTCAAACAGGCACCGGAGACGGTGGAGGGGCCGAGAGCAGCCGATTAACCAGCAGGCTCAGCTGGAACCGGTCCCTGGGAACCGAGCGCCAGTCCCAGGTTTCCTACGGTGTTTGTAGGTTCACCAGCATCACACCCGAGCTGTCCAGCGTTGCTGGCTTTCCATTGTAGCCTACGTGACTTAGGACCACGCTCCCCACGGTCGGTGCGTCCGGTATGTGTGTAGAAGAGATACCAGGGGCAGATTTAAGAGGACAGGCTTATTAGGCATTGACAACAGCAGAACTTAGGACATCCTCCCTCCCTGGACAGGATCACAGGGGGAGCTGCCGCACTGGCTCGCTGGGAGCAGCCACCTCTCCCGCGTGTGCTGGGGCCGGGGGTGGTGTCGGCTTTTCTCTCTCTGTCTCTGGCTGCAGCCCTATTTCCTCTGCAGTGACAGAAACGGGTTTACGTCCTGACTCAGCCGCTTGCTACGTGTGCGACCTTTGTCGGGTCACCTGACCGCCCCAGCCGCGTTGCCTCATCTCCACAGTAGGGACAGTGGTCATTGCTGTTGGTTCCAAAAGAGCAAGCGCTCTGGTGCTGCGTAGACCCAGTTCTCCCGTTCCTTAGCCCTGTGACCTGGGTAGGTCACACGGCTCCGAGCCTCAGTTTCCTCATCTGTAAAATGGGTACACTCACAGTGCCTCGTAGTGATGCTGTGAGGATTGAATGAGGTCATCCGTGTACAGCGAGGCTGCTTGGGGGACCAAGCTCTGGCCAGAGCAGCGGGGGGCTCTCTGAGAGCTTGCATGGGGCTGGATGGGAAAAAGGCAGGGAAAGGTGGAGGAGAGGAGGGGAGCCTGAGTGAGCGTCTCACGTCCTGTGCGCGCGGCAGCCTGGCTCTGTATCCGGACCTGGGGCAGTCAGCCACGCAGAGGCCCAGGCAAGCTCACAGCCCCAGAGCCCGGCAGATTGCCTCACTTCCTCCTGCCCTGCCCCAGCCCTGCTCCCACATCCAGCTCCTCCCCCACCCCACCCAGTTGCAGTCTCCTCCCAGGTCGTCACCTTCGGCCTCTGGAGCAGTCCCGAGGCTCTGACCAGGTAAGGAGCCTCTGGGGACAGGGCACGCCCTTCCGAGTGCCAATCACTGTGCAGCCCGGGAAGAGGGCTGCGGGGCCGTGGGCCAGCTGGCTCCTGTCCCCGGCCCTCCCCCACCCCAAGCCCTGCCTTCTGTACTCCTGAACGCATCGCGGCCCAGGGCACTGCCAGGGCTCTGTACCCGCTCATGGACTCCGAAGGGGACAGCCCCACTGCTGGCTGTGGGGAGCCTGGGGCCAGTGGTGGCTCTAGAAGTCCTTCTAGAAAGGGCCTGGGGAGGTCATCTGGATGGAGAGGCCATGAATGAGTTGGAAACGTGCTTGGAGCTATGCTATCCATCCATGCATTTAAAAAATTGATTGATTGATTTACTTAATTGAAAAGCAGAATGACAGGGAGGAAGGACCACACACACACACACACACACACATACAGAGAGAGAGAGAGAGAGAGAGGAGAGAGAGAGCTTACATCGGCCCCTAGATCAACAGTATGACCAGCATCGTGTAAAAGTACATCTATTTCCACTTTACACCTAATGAAGGAGCCTGAACTGCCCAGCTCAAAGAAAGGAGAGGATTCCCCCGGTGATGGTCACCAAGGGCTCAAAGCCCTCCTCCTGTGGGAGGGGAGCCACGTGTGGGTCCAGCTACCATCACTCGATGACCTGTCACTCATCATGGCAGCCGCCATCTTCCTCCCGCCCCTTATTCGCAGCTGGGTGCCGAGCCCAGTAAATGCGGCAACACCCACGGTGACCAGCCTTTGATTCTTCTGTTTTATTTAGGTTCTTTTAGGGGAGACCTTCCAGGGGGCTGCCAGTCACTGCTTCTATCCCGCTCCCCCCACCCCTAGAACAGTGTGACACGGTGTGGGCCAATCAGATGCTTCACTCTTCTGCTGAAGTAGTGGGAATGTCGGGTTTTCCCGTTTTTCTTGCTAATCTAAAATGTGACTGCTGCTGACAGCAGCTTCCCTCTGGGTAGGAGAGCTTGCTGGCAACATGAAACCAGGTGGAGAGAAGCCGGCAGGGCTAAGAGATGGAGAGAAAGAACCTGACTGCTGTGCGTGGCTGGATCCAGCCATGCCTGAAGGCATACGTGGACATTTTCCCTTCGTGGAGCCACGGCTCTCACTTCCAGCTTAAACTCGTTTGAGTGCTACCTCTGTCGACGCTGTGGCATCTAGAGAAGCACACTTCTTCCTGGGACGGCTGTGAAACTCGGCTGAGACAACACGCACAGAGCTCATCACCCCGGGACGGCACAGGCACAGTGAGTGTCTGACAAGCGTTAGCTGGTGTCCTGCTGAGGACTCTGCCAGCCCTGGGCTGGGCGCTAGGGGATGACGGCGAGTGAGACTTGGTTCCTGCCTTCGGGGCTCTCGAACTCCAGCGAGGTAGACAGACCAGCAACAGACAGATAGGAACACACGAACACAGCATCAGGCCCCGGGTCCCATGGCAACTCTGAACGAACTACCTGGAGGGAGAGGTGGGGTGGGGCAGACGTCCGGGATGATGCAGGCTGAGTGTTCACCCTGGCCAGAGCAGGTGTTGCCAGTACAGGCGGCGCCCCTGCCACACCCCGTCAGCCACCCCAGAAGTCACCTCCGGCTGAGAAGGGATTTCCTAGACACACCTAGAGCTCCTTTAAGCCTTTCCCGGGCCACACAAGAGCGCGCTGGGCCGGGCACGGCGTGGGCCAGCCTACGAGCGAGTGACGACGCCCCGAGACCACAGCACTCTCTGGGAAGGTGCACAGTGTATCAAGAATTCCTAAAACCAGCAAGAAAAAGACAGGCAGCCCGTTAGGAACGTGGGCCCGAGACTTCAGCAGACATTTCACGGAAGAGACGGCGGCGGAAGGAACCCCTCTACAAACGTGCAAGTCTTCAACGCTGCTCACATCAGCATTACGAAGCTTTGTTCACGGGCAGGCGTTTGGCACAGCAGGGCAGCCGCCACCTGGGACACCTGCAGCCTGTGTCAGAGTGCCTGGTTCGAGTCCCAGTTACTCCAGTTCCGATTAAGCTTCCTGCCAATGTGCACCCGGGGAGGCTCCAGGTGATGGCTCCAGGAGCTGGGGCACTGTCACCCCACGGGAGATCTGGGTGGAGTTCCAGGCTCCTGGCTGCCGCCTGGCCCAGCCCTAGCTGTGTAGGCACTTGGGTGGTGAACCATTGGATGGAATATCTCTCTGTCTTTCTTGCCTTCAAATAAAATGAAAATAAATAAAATGTAAAAAAAGAAATTTTATTAAATTAAGGACTTTTTAGACAAATCTAGCAATAAGTTGAAAAATTGGAAAAAGATATTTAAAAAAATTTATTTATTTATTTGAAAGGCAGAGTTACAGAGAGGAAAGAGATAGAAAGAGAGAGAGAGGTCTTCCATCCGCTGGTTCACTCCCCAGTTGGCCACAATGGCTGGAGCTGTGCTGATCAGAAGCCAGGAGCAGCTTCCTCCATGTCTCCCATATGGGTGCAGGGGCCCAAGGACTTGGGCCATCCTCCACTGCTTTCCCAGGCCATAGCAGAGAGCTGGATCGGAAGAGGAACAGCCGGGACTTGAACTGGCACCCATGTGGGATGTCGGCACGGCAGGCAGCAGCTTTACCCGCTATGCCACAGTGCCAGCCCCGGAAAAAGATCTTTTTTTAATAGCTAAAACTATGGCACATGACTTAAATAGTGACTGTGTGAGGAACTCATGGGAGC